GATTCCGCCAGCTCTGAGAATCTCTGGGAGTCGATCGTGAGGACTATCATATTCCTCGCGCCGCTCGATGATGCTGCCTTTCCGGCGTAGCTCGAGTGGGTGATGATGACCGTGGGACCAGAAACCGCCACCTGAGAAGCGATTTCCGAGATGGTGTAGTTTGGATTCGCGGTGGTGGTGGTGGCCCCGGTCATGGAGGCGGCGAGGAACGATATTAAGAACTCCGGTGAGTTGTGGAGGAGGAGCATGATGACGTGGCCTCGCCGGATGCCGAGGCCGTGGAGGCCGGCGGCCAATTTCCGGGCGGCGAGCTCGAGTTCCGAGTGGGTGAGGGTTTTTCCGCTGGGGGAGTCGATGAGGGCCGGGCGGGACGGGTGGCGGTGGAGGTTTTGGAAGATGTACGCATGGACAGGAAGGTGGTCGGGTATGGGGATGGCGGGTAGTTTGGATCGGAAAATGTAATCATTTTCGTACGCATTCGACTCCATCAAGCGACCGGAATGCGACGATATGTGTTTAGGGTTTTTGGAAAAATAAAAGATAAAAATTGAAGCGTATATGTGTTTTTCCTACTCTGAATATCGAGTGATTTGTCTGTCTATCTGTGTTTTTCTGCTCTCAATATCGGGTGATTTATATTGTGTTTTCCTGTTTTGAATATGGTGTGATTTTGTAATTTGATGTTTGAAAAGTTGCAAGAAAATGAGTGAATTTTTGATGAATTGTGTGTTGAAGTTGACACGATGGTGCTAAATAGCGTGGGAGATTACGAAGTTTGGTAAAAAAAAAAGAAAAAGCAAAAGTAATATATAGTATATAGTAATTGGAATTAATTTGGATATCAAGATTTGTGATTTTAAAATTTTTATTAGGTTAATTAAGCTTTATTAATTGACAATTAAATAAATAAATAGAGAAGTACTAGAGTGCTATTTGTAGAAATGAATTGAATATATCAAGATTTGGAAATCCAATTACGCTGTAGGTTTAAGGTGGGAGGCATATTTTCGCGTTCACCTTTGGTCCGATTAAGTAAACTAGTGTTCGATCTTGTGCACATGCACCAATAACAATAAAACTTACAGTCCCGTGGATTTATAGCACTCTTTTGAAGGGAAAAATGAAATATAATCATGTTTTGTAAAACAATAAAATCTAATGTTTAGTAATGTTTACCTACCAATAACAAAAAAAAAAAAGGTCTGATACTGCACATCTTCTCTCCTCTTCCCTGTGCGCGCCACGGCCCTGTAAAAAAAAAAATCTCATCTTCCCAAAATTCAGTAAAGTGAATCATCTTGACCAAAAATCATCTCCACATCTCAAGTGAATTCATTTTTTGAAAGAAAAAAGGTACATTAACCTAAACTTAATTTTATTTTTTTTAATTATGTAAAATAAAAAAAAATTGAACACATTTATTATTTTTGTTCCCAAAATTATTGATTTGTCTAGTATCATTCTATATTGTTGAACTATCATATTTTTTTAGAGTTAAAAAAATAGAGATTTTGTGCTTCAAAAAAAGGGGTTGTGTTTATTGTAGTACAAATTGTTATTTTTATTGAGTACCGAATCGAAAGATTCGTTCCCCGAGTCAATTGTTCGAGGCGATTCGGAATCTAGCCTTGGTATTGATAGCACATATAAAGAAAACAAATCCTAAACGCACTAATCAAATAGGGGGGTTGAGCAATTACCAACTAAGAAATAATAAAAAGCATAAATCTACCTAGAAATATAACCGACACAAAAATAAAGAAGCTAGAGAATCGGGGATAATTAATTCAAGTTCAAATGTAAAGCCGGGCAATTAATCGTCTGGTTTAAGATTGATACTCTCGCTTAAACATCTAGCGGTTCGCTCCCAATAACTCTTCGTAACATGGGATTGAACATAGACGAGCAAGTCGAGCATACAACACCGGCCAATAATCCAATCTCAATAACTATTCGTAACATGAGAAGGGACATCGAAAAGCATGTACTTCAAGAAACCTATAGACAGTACGAGCCTAGTTCTACCAATTTCTCCACTCTCAGTTTTGAAATCGATTAACTCTATGACTCCTCCCCTTTCGGTTCTAAAAGTCACTAATTCGATTAGAAGGTATTTAATCAACTAATCATGTAGAATCAACAATATACACCACCCAACAACCGACCACCATTTCAACCGAGGCCCGAGTTTCAAGGATATCAACCGAGGCCCGGGTTTCAAGGGTACCAACAAGGGCGTGGAGGATTTGTTCCGAGACAACCAATGCCACCTCTACCGGAGCCCGAAAAAGAAGTTAAAGCACCTACCTCGGACCCTCGAATTGACAACATGGAGAAGTATCTTCAAAGCCTTGCTTCGACCGTGTCCACCCTCCATAAAACAGTCAAGGGCGTACCTTCAATCCAAGCTTCTCTCAAATGCCTCGAGACACAAATGGGGCAACTTGGGACGTCCATTGGTGAAATGCAAAGAAACAACAAGAAGGACCGACTCCCGAGCCAACCCGAGCAAGCCCAAGACGTGACGGTCTTACGAAGTGGTAAAGTGGTGGATAATCGAGTTGAGATGCCTAATGATGTGTTGGTTGAGGATGTTGATGAAAAGGATTACGAGGAGGAGTTGAATGTTATGACGGATTCTGGGATATCGACAAAGAGGTACATCCCGATTCTCATTCTAAATTTGCTAATCGT